ATAATAGTAAAAATTACTAAATCCTAGGAAAACCTAAATATTAGTAATATAGGTTAAGATAGACTAGTTAATAACTATCTTAATTTTAAAAAAATCTATCTAGATTCCTTTATAGCTAATAATTAGGCCTAGAAACTTAGTTTTAGAAATAATAAACTTATATTTTAAAAGTTTTATAAATAGGCAGGCTCTTCGTAACTTTTACAGAATCTAGCAGATATAATAGATATACTTAGAACAGATTCAGTTATAAATTAGGATATTATCCAGATAAATAATATAAAAGATATTTAAATAATTATATAATATATTATTAATATAACACTAGAAAGTCCCAGGAGCTCTAGTTAGGCTAAATAATATTATTAGGGATTTAAACAGGCCTAGGCGGGTGTAGAATATAATTATTTATTCTTGATTTTTCTAGATATACAGGTTATTAAAAGTATTTATAATATTAATCTTTATAAAATAATATATTTTTTTTAGGTTATTCAGAGTTTTTTTTACTAGAGATAATAAATAATAATCTTTAACAGTAATCATGTTCAGGGCTTAATAATTAATATAAAAATATAAGCCTTTATTAGACTTATTAATAAACAGGACAAAGAATACTACAGAAAATAAATTTAGACAGATAAAGCCTTTTTATAGATTTTTAAAAAATTATTCTTAGAGGGCTTTCAGCTCTTCCTAAAATATATTATATAAGAGATTAAATAATAGTCTTTTACTAAGTTCTAGTATAATTATATAGTTATAATCCCTGTATAAGGGCAGCTTATCTATCTTTTTTAATAAAAATATATTTTTAAAGTCTTAGAATTTTATAAGAATATTAGGGCTCTAGTCAGGCGCCTCTTGCACCAGGGGCTTCTTAGAAGATTTTTTATAGATTATTTAATTAATTTATTCTATAATAATAATAAAGATTTTTTTTCTTTATTTTATATATACAGTACAAGCTCTTATAAATATTATACAAATATTATAGGTCTAGAAGGCCTTTAAGGCCTTTAAGTTAATTAGACAGGCTTAAGTAAAGATATTATATAAAACCCGGATTTTTTAAAGACAGAATGGGATATTATAGTACTTTTAGTAATACTAATTATTAAACTAGAGGGTATGCTTGGTAAAGTTTATTTTAGGATTATAGGTTTTAAGCTAGAAGAGTTTGATTATAATAGAGAAATATATAAGCTAAATAATTAAAAATAAAATATTTTTTTTAATATAATTATAGGTCTTTAGGGTTATACGGGCGTAGTAAGTAATAATACTAGTCTTATTTTCGCGGTTATTAAATCTTATAATTAACTTAGGCTTTTTTAGGGAGTATAGGATTAGATTTTAAGTTTTAGCCTAACTTTTGTTTATAACACGGGATATAGAACAGCCGGTATTAAATATAATATAAGTAGTAATCTTACTCTTACCAGGGTTTAGTATAATAAAAGTAATTAATAAATTAGTTTTTTAAAGTTTTTTTTTAATAAAAAGTCCCTTAGTAGCAGCTTCAGAGATTTAGTAAATATATATAAAAGGGTCTGTCTAATCATAATTTAGGCCAGGCTAACTTTTTTTAATTATTTACTTAGATCTAGGGAGTACAGGCATTCTATCTAAAAAATTATTTAAAACTAAAGAGCCTAGAACAGTAGTAATATAGATAGGTTTTATGGGATAAAACAAGACTAGAATATAAAAAGGGACTATTTTCAAAAGGGCGAACAGGACTTTAAGAGAGAAATAAGATATATAATATAATTAATTTAGTATAGGTAATTATCTAGTTCAAGATAATCTCTAATTATATATTAACTTAATCTATAACAGAAATATTTACTATAATCTTTATAAGTGTTATTCTTAGGATAGGGGGACGGGTGGTAAGTTAAGAAAAAATCTATAATATTAAAATTTAGGATAATAATAGCAGGCTAGGAGAGTTTATTAATTAGATTCTAGGGATAATAGTTTTAGGTATTTTTAATTATAATCTATAGGCAAGTACTAATTCCGGTTAAAATTAGAGCGGGCTTCCAGGGTTAGCCGCGAGAGTATTAAGTATAATAATTTTTTAATTTTTGTAAGAAAATAATAAAATTAATATAATTCTTAGCAGGCAGGTTCTAATATATTAATATAATTTTTATTTTTTGGTTAACAGCTTTTTTAAGAAGGGTAAAAAAATTATTTTTAGTTATTTCTTCCTCTATAACTAGTTATTAGAATTTAGTAAAAAAAATAAAAAACTTTTAATTCTTTTATTTTAGATTATATAGGGTATTCCGGGTATTACAGACACGGTTTAAGTTTTTATAAATATAATTAAATATTTTTAGGATTTTAGTATAGTTTTTTAGCTGATAAACTCTGTCTCTAATATACAGGAGGACTTAAATATAAAAAAGTTTTTTTAAGTAGTTAAAAATATAGGCTATACGGGCCTGAGAAATTAGGAAACAGTTATAATTTATAATTATTTTTTTCTTAATCTAGGAGGTAAAGTAGTAAAAATCTAATTTAGCATCTTTAAATTTATTAGGATCGGGTAGTTATTCAGAAAGGCAGGCGGAGGCAGAAGATCTAGGATTAATTAATATAAGTATTTTTATTAAAATAGCTAGGGGTTTTTTAGTAGCAGATTCAGGGGTCTAGTCTAGGATACTAACCACAGGCGTAATAGCCTGGATCACGTGATTTTATTTTTAAATTACTATGCTTTTGTCGGCTAGGGCTTAAATAAATTTAAAATTTAAACTTTTTTTATAATCTATTTAGAGGATAATAATTTATATAATAGTATTTATATTCTACTGGAGGCGGGAGACTTCTTAACAGAAATATTTTTAATTAGTATTAATATTTATTATAAATATATAAATCTGGTTATAATAAATATATTATTTCTTAGTATATTCAGTAATATATTAAGTAAATAATTCAGGGTTCTTAGGAAAAGATAGAGGCTTTAAAATTTCAGATATATCAGGCAAGTACCAGCTTTATAAATAGGAGCTATATAATATTAAAATATGGGCTAGCAGATTAGTAAAATTAATACAGCAGGGGCAGATAGGGCAGGCAGTCTAGCTAGATTAGGCAGGCTAGGTTTATAAGATCTTTAATAGCTACTATAGTCAAGCTATATATAAGATAATAGACAAAATATAGCTCAGAAAGCTATAATAGGATCTCTGGTGTTTAAGCTTTTAAGCAGTCAGGGGATCAGGATCGGAGACAGGTTCTTCCGGTTTGGCGGTTCTGTCTGGTTCTGGCGGGCTTGGCGGCGCCCTCAGGTCTGCACTGTGACATAAAGCACCTAAACATTTTATAAATAGATTCTACTCAGGTTACCTAATTAGGCTAGTACTGCAGATTACCTCTTCAGATCTTATATAATTATAAAAATAAGCTAAATTTCTATCTTAATCTGAATAAAATTGTTTAATAATCACATAATATTAATGTTTAATAAATTAAATTATTTCAATAATTAAATTACTTACATAATCTTTTAATAAAATTACCTTAGCTATATAAAATTTTAAATAAGGGCAGTATATATAGTTAATATATTGTTTTTGGTAAATTCCCTAATTTAAATAAATAAGGTCCTAATAAATGGTTTTAAATAGTTTAGTCCCTAATTAAATCGGAATTTAAGAAATTTAATATTTTAAAATTAATAATTAACAAATCGGGCAATAATCTTTAGTTTTAGTTAATTTATTATTAATTTTTACTCTGTTAATTACTAAATCAAGGTATTTTAAAACTTCAGAGCTCGGGTGCCCTAATCTTAAATACCATAGTTTAGCTGTTTTATATAAAATAACTAGTTTATTTGAATTTTTTATTGAATAGGCCTCTAATTTATTTATTTTAATATTTGGTAATAAATTTAAATAGTGAATATGATTATCTTCAGGAGCTAATTCAGGTGATTATTAGATATAATTATTAGTATTTTATTTAATTAAATAAATATCTGTAATTTTAAGGACTTCATAAATCAGGCAGTAATTAGGGCTTTTTAGGTATATAGCCCTAGAATTAAGGTAAATACCTGATTACCTTGCTTTTGAGGCAGATAAAACATTAATATAAAATTATAGAATATAGGTGTAATAACATAATTTGAATGTTATTTTATCTTTATAGGGGTTTAAAGGTTTTAAATTAATTATTCTGAAATCTTTAATTAATGTCTGCGTGTTCTCTATAAAGATTAATATAAATAATTTATAATAATCACTAAATAATAATTAATTATTACAGATATAGGTATCTGTAGCAGTATTAAACACTTAATTAGGACTAGTATATTTTTTAATTAGTCCTATTAAATTTGAAACTATTACAATTAAATTAATTAAAAATTTATTATTTTAATTTATTACTTAATTTATTAATTTTAAACAATTTTTTATAGCTTCAAGTGCTATGCGAAATTTAGGATTCCTAAAGACTTTATTAAATTATTAAATAGTCTTAAAATCACATAACTAATTTTTTAGTTTCTTTAATAAATCATTAATATAAAAACATTGGTCAAATTCATAATAGCCTCTATTAAGGTCTGATTAACAGGGGCAGTTTCATTCCTTTTTAGAAGTTCTAGGATTAAACCTAGGGCTTAGAGTATTTTCCAAGGTATCTCCTTTAAAGATTACCTAACTGATTCAGCTCGGTTAATTTAAATATTTAAATATTAGGAATATCTTCACATAATCTCTGAATCGCTTAATCATATCAAAAAATAACAGTATTTCATCACATAATTTAATTTTATTATTTAATTTTTTACTCTAATAATTTACAAATATTAAATAAGACCTATAAATAACTTTAATAAAGTTATATTAAACTCGGTGTAGATTATTCACTTCGCTTATTTCAAGCAATTTCGCTTCAGTATAGATGTTTTTCTATAGTAAAATATATAAATTAATTAAATATTTATTCTGCAGATTTTTAAGTATATAATATTATTTAATAATATCGCGTTTTCTTGATTCATTAGTGGGAGCTAGTTTTGTTTGAAGGATCCGCAGCACGTAATATAGGGTTTCTTTATCAGATACTAAAACCCTATTAGCTGATAATATCAAGTTCTTAATTAGAAATAAAATTAGGGCTAAGCCCTCATCTACATAATAATATTCTCGAAGTGCTAATTTATAATCATGTAAAAAGTCTTAATAAAGCGCTCGATTGTTTTAAATTAAATTAATAATTAATCTAGTATTCCCATTAAGGTCACATAGTTCCAGGTGAGTAGGCTGTACAGATTAATTAGGTATAATTATATAACTGGGATTAATAAATTCCTAAATATATTTGCTTTTAGTAATTATTTTAATTATGTTAAACTAATATATCCAGTCATGTGACTGGTTCAATTAAAAGTTAAGCTTTATATCTATATTAATAAACTTAAATAATTAATAAAGTGATTTAAATTGTTTGACCTTTGTTTTGTCTTACTTTCACCTTACTTTTACTATATAAATTAATAATAAAAGTAAAAGTTCAATAAAATAAAAATAAATTAGGTAAGTAGGAGTCAATTAAATCAGACAGGTAAGTAATTCACTATAATGGTGAATAGACAAGTAATTAATTAATTCGCGTGTGTGTAAATTTAATCAATAAATCAATAAAATAATTCAAATCAATCAAACACTTCAGACAGGTGAAATAAAACACTTAAAGTAAGTACACAGATTAAATAAATTAAATTAACATAAATAGTAAATAGTTCACTACAGTAATGAGTAATCAAATAATTAATTTATATATAAGTTAAATTTAATTAAACAAATAAATAATTAATTCAGGTGTAAGTATAAATTTAATTAAATATATAGTAAATAGTTCACTGCAATAGTGAGTAATCAAATAATTAATTCACGTGTGGGTTGAATTCAATTAAACAAATAAATAATTAATTCAGATATAGATATAAATTTAATTAAACATATATAAATTCAATCAAACAGGTAAATGATTAATTCACGTGTATGCATAAATAGTAGAAACAAAGGGCTAGACCGGGCTCATAACTGTCAGATAGGGTAGGTAGATCATATAAGTTAAATAGAAATTTCAAATAACTAGATAGAATAAGGAAATTAATCAGTCAGATAAAGTAAACAGTTTACCTAGACCACCTAGATCTGAAATAGATAGACTAGAGGTCCTACCATTCGCTATGTATATAAATAGATGAAATTAATTAAATAAATAAATGAAATTCAATTAAATAAATTAAGTAGGTAAATTAACTTAATAAAAAGAATAAATTAATACAGGTTATTAACTACATATTTATAGACAATTAAATCAGGGCTAATTTAATTTAGCCCTAAGCAAATATTATAAACATAGAATTATCAGATCCTTCTAAATCTTTATTTATAAGTTATATTATTAACCTAGGCCTTCAAGATCAATCTCATAGATTATTATTAGATTAATATTTAATCATTAAAATAATCAAATAATCGAGATTTTATAATTAGAATAATTAAAACAATTAAGATTCAACACATAAATCATAATAAAATCATTTAAATAATATCAGAATAATCAGGGTAGCAATATTTATTTTATGGTTTATAAAATAAATAGGCGAGATATTCTGGACTTTTTATATTAATCATCTGAACAAAGCCATTAATTACAGTGATTAAAATAAACTTTTAATTTCCTAAATAGGAAATTTATTAAATTATGTTTTCTAACTTCTATAGGGTTCTAGCAACCGGTGATTTCCTAATCAGGAAGGTAAGCTAGTCTAAAATAAGAAATTCTTCAGAAATTTTTCTTTTTTATTTTCCGCTTATATTAAGCTTAGTTTCACCTCACTTTTCCCATATAATTTGGTGGTGGAAGTGAGAGTTCAATAAAGTGAGAGTAAAGTCGTAGTGAATTTTGAATAATTTCGGTTGTGGGGCGAGATCAGGTGATTCTGATGAATCAGGTGATGTCAGGTGACCCCAATTGACATATAATAATAGCAAAGATTCTTCTTCCTTATCTCATGTATACAGTGTAAACTTTTATAAATATTATATAAATATCACGGGTCTGGAGGGCCTTCAGGGCCTTTAAATTAATTAAACAGGCTTAAATAGAGATATTATATAAGACCCGGATCTTTTAAAAATAAAACAGAATATTATAGTGTTTTTAGTAATACTAATTATTAAACTAGAGAGTATACTTAGTAAAATTTATTTTAGAATTATAGGTTTTAAGCTAGAAAAATCTGATTATAATAAGAAAATATATAAGCTAGGTAATCAGGAATAAGGTGTTTCTCTTAATATAATTATAGATTTTTAAGATTATACAGGTATAATAAATAATAATACTAGTTTTATTTTTATAATTATTAAATCTTATAATTAACTTAGGCTTCTTTAGGGGATATAAGATTAGATTTTAGATTTTAGCCTAACTTTTATTTATAACACAGGACATAGAGCAGCCGGTATTAAATATAATATAAATAATAATCTTATTTTTACCGGGGTTCAGTATAATAAAAATAATTAATAAATTAGTTTTTTAAAGTTTTTTTTTAATAAAAAATCCTTTAGTAATAACTTCAGAAATTTAGTAAACACGCGCAGGGGAATCTATCTGGTTATAACTTAAATTAAATTAATTTTTTTTAATTACTTACTTAGGTCTGAGGAGTACAGGTGTTCTATCTAGAAAATTATTTAAGATTAAAAAGCCTAAAGCAGCAGTAATACAGGTAGGTCTTATAAGATAAAATAAAGCTAGAATATAAAAGAAAATTATTTTTAGGAGAGTGAATAAGACTTTAAAAAAAAATAAAATATATAATATAACTAGTCTAGTATAGGCGGTTATCTGGTTCAGAGTAATCCCTAATTATATATTAATTTAATTTATAACAGAAGTATTTATTATAATCTTTATAAATATTATTTTTAAAATAGGGGAACAGGCAGTAAGTTAAAAAAAGATTTATAATATTAGGATTTAAAATAACAGTAGCGGGTTAGGAGGGTTTATTAACCGGACTTTAGAGATAATAACTTTAAATATTTTTAATTAAAATCTATAGGTAAGTACTGGTTCTAGTTGTGAGATGGGGTAGGTAGGTCACGTGGGTTGAATAGAAATTTCAAATGGCTAGATAGAATAAGGAAATCGATCAGTCAGATGAAGTAAACAGTTCACCTGGACCACCTAGATCTGAAATAGATAGACCAGAGGTCCTACTATTCGCTATGCATGTAGATAGGTGAAATTGAATGAATGAATGAATGAAATTTAATTAAATGAATTAAGTGGGTAAATCAACTTGATGAAAAGAATGAATTAATACAGGTTGTTAACTGTATATTTATAAACAATTAAATCAGGGCTAATTCAATCTGGCCCTAAGCAAATATTGCAAACATAGAATTATCAGATCCTTCTAAGCCTTTACCTGTAAGTTATATTATTAACTTAGGCCTTCAAGATCAACCTCATAGATTATTATTAGATCAATATTTAATTATTTAAATAATTAAATGATCGAGATTTTATAATTAGAATAATCAGAACAATCAAGATTTAACATATAAATTATAATAAAATCACTTAAATAATATCAGAATAATCAGGGTAGTAATATTTACTTTATAGCTTATAAAATAAATAGGCGAGATATTCTGGACCTTTTGTATTAATTATCTGAACAAAGCTATTAATTATAGTGGTTAAAATAAACTTTTAATTTCCTAAATAGGAAATTTATTAAATTATGTTTTCTAACTTCTATAGGATTCTAGTGACCGGTAATTTCCTAATTAGAAAGGTAAGCTAGTCTAAAATAGGAAATTTTTCAGAAATTTTTCTTTTTTATTTTCCGCTTATATTAAGCTTAGTTTTACCTTATTTTTCTTATATAATTTAGTGGTAGAAGTGAGAGTTTAATAAAGTAAGAGTAAAATCATAGTAAATTTTAAATAATTTCGGTTATAGGGCGAGATCAGGTGATTCTGATAAATCAGGTAATATTAGGTGACCCTAATTGACACACCCCTTTAGTTTAAATTAATAAAGTATTAATTAAAACTGCAAATGTTAAATGATTAATTATTATTTAATAAGATGTTGAATATTAACTATATTCAGTTATTCGGTAAATTTCGCATGTTCCTGCTTAATCAGGCGTTTGATAAAGCTGTCTGTAATTATTTAATTAATAAAGACCCATTTTAATTTAATAGATTTCTTCTTGATTTCTTGCCTAAGCCAGTGATTATTAATGTTTATATATTTTAATTTAATTTTATAAATTAAATTAGGCTTAGTAAGCAGGTCAATTATTTAATAATTATTATAATAAATATATAGTTTTTTTTCAGGGTTGAACCCTATAGCAGTAAATAAGTATTTCTACTATAAAAAATACTTACTAACTGTAGTTAGGGCTAATAATTCTGCTTCAGTAGTAGATAGGATAATCATTTTTTACTTTCTAGCTGACTAATCAATAGGTCCGCTAAATAAATAATATATAAAGCCTTCAGATAACTTTCTTTATAATAAATCTGTATAAGCTATATTACTAGCTATTTTAAAAATTAGTAGTGATTTTAATTAATTTATTAAATTAAGACTATATTAAATTAAATTAAATCAGGTTCTATAAATAAATAAAATTAGGTGATTTATTATATTTATATAGTTTAAATAAGGTTTAGCTATATGTTCTGCAAGGATTTTATAACTTTTTGCAATATCTAGCCTAGAAATAACTACGGGATATAGAACTGAGCTAATTTTCTTTTAATAATCTAGGTAATAGAGCTTAGTAAGCGGTTACCCTATAGATTTGCTTAAATTACTAGATAGTAGAGGTATTTTAAATAAATTCTGATTAGCTAATTTAAAGCGGTAAGCAACTTTTTTAATATAATCTGCTTGATTAAGCCAAATTATTTGATTTTGCTAGTTTTGAATAACCTTTATATTTAGGAATTAGTAAATTTCACCTAAATCCTTTAGATCATATATTAAAAATAATTGATTTTTTAATTTATTAATTTTTGATTAATAATTTTAATTATATAATAAAATAATATCATCCATATAAATCATTAAAATCATATAATTATTTATAAATAGGCAGGGATCTTTAGGCACTAATTTTAGGCCTAATTTT